TGTGAGTGTGTGTGTATATATATATATGTGTGTGTGTGTATCTATCTCTCTCTCTATATATATATATCTATCTATATATATCATACTGTTTATTTGTTGAGGGAGAATTGAATCTATGTTTAGTATTTAAATGTTTTCTTACAGAGACAAGAACACAGTAGAAAGCTCATGGCATATTCAACACAGCTTGTGGAAACAATTACGTATTTACCTTATGATGGCACTGGTCATGGATGCAATACTGTAATGCCATCTTTTCTACAGCTCCAGAACAGATGTTCTCAGCTCTGAACAACTGTTAACATAAACCAAAGCCCATTTGTCCTTGTTTTTGTATTGTGGTCATACAGAGCTTTGGGATTCTTCTCTGTAGTATGACCTCCATCCCGTGGTCACAGATTTCACCTGTGGCTCTGAGTAGAAAAATGATTGTGGGGAGGAAAAGGGCTGGGAAGGGACAAAGGCACAGAGAAGTGATGTGACTTGCCCAAAGCATTGTTGAAGATTAGTGACTGCATAAAGATGGAAATAGACTCCTAAGATCGGTTAATTTGTTACAAACCATTGAATCATACCACTAAGGAAAGATGCTTCCTAAATATTACTGAACCTTTGGAACAGGGAGCTAGTCAGTCCTAGTTACCCAGAAAGAAATAGGTTGTGACAGTACTTTGTGTGTTCTGTGAAGTTCTTTCTATTTTGCCTGGTTTGTAATCCTCCTGCTGTGACTGGCATATGCTGAACAGTTTAGATCAGAGTTCCTATTTTTGTACCCTTCTGGAAAGAAGGATGTGTTTCTCTCTTGATCACTGAATTGCAGAGTTTAGATGGAATGCCTTCTTTTGGGTTTGTTCATTTGTTTGTTTATTTGTTTGTTTTAGGTTTTTTGTTTGGGGTTTTTTGTTTGTAGGCTGTCATGGACCTGTGAGAGTCATGTCTTTGTGTTTCCCTGAACTATGGCAATGCCAGTATCCAGAGTAAGTAGCCTAGCCTGGTGCACACATGCTGCTCACTCCAGTGTAACTTTACGATCTCTGTATCGTAGGATCTGGGCTGCATTACAAAGAAGAACCACAAGTTAAAGTACAACAGCATCCAGGAATGCAGATGGGAACAAAGAATCACCGAGAACTGGACTTTATGGAAATGAGAGCAGAAGTCCCATGGTGTGGGGGGAAATGGGGCCTGCTGTGCAAGACTGGGGTAGGGGAAGGATGTGGCTAAGTCCAGGATGCAGGTTCCTTTGTTGCTTTAGACAAGGATAATGTCTGCCCTTGCTCAAAATGTATGTAAGAATGAGAAAAATATGTCAGGGAATAAAGAGAAACCATCTGTAATCAGAGCAAAGGAGGAAAAATGAACAGGAATCTCTCTAAGACAAACATCCAGAATCTTGAAGAAGTGAGATATTCTCTAGTTTGAGTAAAAGTGTAACAGCCTGACCTCTAATGCTCTGAAGAATAGCCTTGCAAATAATACTGTATTAGTTTGATTACAGTAATATTTGAGTAATTTGTCTCCAGAATCAGAGAAATTTCCTGTGCTACATGTTCCTACCTTGTTTCTATACCGATCAGTAGTGGTGGGTTGCAAATGTTTCTACCGACAGCAGTGTTTCTCTTCTGTAATAATAATTAATATTTTAAAAAAAGTAATGCTGTAGTAGCCGTTTGTGAGGTTCTAAATACAGGATGATTTCTGAAAGGCAGCTATGGCTTTAGTAGAGGTTCCTCCCGTTCTTGGGCGGCAGCTATGCGCCTCTGCTCTCCTTAGGCAGCCGGGACCCGTTTACCGGTAAGATAACCTTCCGGAGCGGTTCTCGGGGTCAGCGGCGCCCGGTGCGCCTTGGCTGCCCGGCCGAGGCGGGCCAGGAGCAGAGCCAGAGGGGCGGGGGGGTTGGGCCCCGCCCAGGGG